GGTTTGTGGCATCATGTGAATCGAGGAATCTGTTTATGCAATGGAAATGCAAAGGAGCTTTGAGCGAGGGGCTGGAGCGGGGCTGCCAGCGGGGCCTTTCTGCCATTATTCACTGCAACTGTTCAAATGCATTCCTCAGGTGTTATACAGCTGATGACGTCTGCCTTTTCTCCTCGTGTCGGTTGTAAATTTGTGTTTATCGAGACTAATAAATGCCAAATGATTTCTTTTTAGCATCAGAGAGCAAGCCCTGCAGTCAGCCCTGTGAGCCTCCCAGTGCAAAAGGATCTTCCTCCTCATTATCTCCTGCTTCTGTCACTGAGGATGTCTCCTTTGGGTGGACCAGTGATGACCAGGTGAAGCTGAACACTCCTTTCTGAGCGTTACTATTATTTTAGGTTCTCAACAAATGTAATGAAATTTACCAGAATAACAGTGATGCGACGTCCGTTATGGACAAATTCTTCCCTTTTGTCTGACTTGACCTTTAGCAGCAAGTGCCGGTCAGCTGCAGCTTTAACTCGCTCAAAGAATATCTGAACGCTAACATTTTATACAGCAGGCTCCCAAAGTGTGTCAGGACTTCACGTCTGCTGTGTTTGTCTTCGGGTGCCTTTGCGCTCTGTTCAGGACGCGTGTTCGGTGGTGAGCGACTATGACTGCCCCTGCATCGAGGAGAGCAGCAGTGTGGAGGACCTGCAGAGCATCAGCCCCTCTCTCAGGGACTCTGAGTACTTAAAAGATCTGCGGGGAGGTACGCCGACCTCGCAGACGACTGCATCCACAGTGACCGCAGCCCCGGAGAGCGTCGACCTCCAGGAGCCTCTAAACACAAACAGTCCAGCTTTAAACCGACCTGCACACGCTTTCCTGAACACGCACTCCCCACAGTTAAATGCACCGTTCCCGTCCTGCGAACAGCCTACAGAGGAACTTCCTCACAACCTTGTGGTCACTCAGCTCAGTCCTAAGTTGTTGCCAGGTGGGTTCACTGATTGCGAGGACGCTCTCTGTGGAGGCTCTGCAGGAGGGCGGAGCTCGCCAAGTAATTTGATCGGATTGTCGGGATCGATGGAAACGGCATCGACAGCGGCGATGGAGGGAGCAAAGGACCAGTGCTCAATGGATTTTGATGGAGAGCTAGACCTGGACAGCTTTCCTATTCTAATCAGATCCATGTCTACATCTCGGAGGCACAGCTGGGGAGTCCCTCTGTCCCCCATCAACCTGGGGAGGAGGTAAGACGCAGACACGCAGAAACATTTCAGAGGAAGCGTCTCCTGTTACAGTCCAAATCTATTTGACTCATAAGTGATATAATAAAGTTTCTACATAGGAAGAGAAACATCTTGCATCAGTGTTACTCAGCACAGCTGTCACGCTCAAAAACAAAAACACTTTTCCGTCTGTGTTATTTAAGTGAGCTGAACGTTTCCTGTGGTTGGTCTTTCACAGCTTTTTAAATAATGACGGTGAAGCTTCTTTGAGCTGTGAAAATGAAACCTGCACAAAAATACTGACAAAACAGAAAATATACACAAGTCATAGACTCTGTCTCCCACATATATGTGTGTGTATGCACATGCTTGTAATGTAAATCTATTTGCTTTGTGTTCGTTTGCCGTGCTGCCAGACTCAGTCTCGACACCAAGGCCATAGACAGTGACGGAGAGAGAGATGATGATGATGATGAGGAGCGACAGAATAGTCTTTTCCAGTCCACCTACAGCTGCTCGCCATGTCCTGAGGAGGACTCCGGCAGTCCTGATGGCTTCAGCCTGAGGGTAAGCTGCCCAATAATCAGGGTCACTATGGTGGTAATTAAGGCTGCCACGATTAGTCGACTAGTCACGATTACGTCGACTATCAAAATCGTCGACGACTGATTTAATAGTCG